CAAGGAGTGACCAGGAACAATGGTCACAAGCTGGCGGAGGGAAGGTTTAAGTTGGACATCAGGAGGCGCTACTTCACGGTCAGGGCGGCTAGGGTCTGGAACCAGCTTCCATGTGAGGTGGTGCAGGCTCCCACCCTGGGGGTTTTTAAGAGGAGGTTGGATGACCACCTTACTGGGGTCATTTGACCCCAGTGCTCTTCCTGCCATGGCAGGGGGTCGGACTAGATGATCTGCTTAGGTCCCTTCCGACCCTAGAAACTATGAAACTATGAAACTATGAAAAAAGAAATGCATTTCTAATGAAAATTTTGGTCATATTTTACCTTTTTTTAACTGTCTTTGAGAAAAAGTTTTCAAGCTTATGTGTTGGTAGGAAATTTTACAGTAAAATTTCAGCATAGGCCTAGTGCATTTCAAAACTTCACATCAGAGTGTCACTGGTGCTTGGCAAAATCTAAAAGATTCAAAGAAGCTGGACAAAAATACTTTTATTGATTTTGTTTTTCAATTGCTTAAAATTACTCTGTATTTGAGTTTGTGATGAAAACATGACAATGGAGTGATTTAATGGCTCATTTAAATGTGAATGATGAATATGAACATTGTAGCTTAACCCTGTAGTGTTTTATGAAATTTCCCGTATGGTAGCCTGGATTTTTGGTTAGATTAGGCACATAGTGGGTGCATCTACACAAGATGCTTTGTCACCGAAGCAATGAGCTACAGTGGCATAGCGTCATTGGGCACAAACTGTGATGCCAATGCGGTAGCAACAAACTACAACACTGTAGGTCATCTCTATGGTGATGTAGCATCTAAAAATAACTGCACTGCCAGGACTGCTTAATACTAATGGGTACTATACAGCCATTTAGTATTTGCTAAATCCACTACTAAATGACTGCATAGTACCAAATGTGCAGTCAGGGGCATGTGTAGATGCATCCAGTGTCAAATTTAATACCTTGACTGCCTAACTGGCTTAGTGTTCTATGGAGGCTGGAACAGCCCCACAGCATAACTTAATAACATAGCTAAATTATCTTATTTATTCAGAAAGACTGGCTTCATTTGTACTCTCAGATACTTAAAAAAATAGTTATCCAGTACAGCAGCAAGGAGTGGCCTTGTGTAGGTCTAGCGGAGCAGTCAAACATACTTCCAGAAAACAATCTTTCATTCTTGGGTACATAAATTTGACCTCCAAGATGTTTGTAATTTGTAAAGTGATCCAGAGCCCACTAAGGTAAATGGCAGTAATTCACTGATTTGAGTTCAAAATCCTCTGAAGCCAGCCAGGAATGGGTTCATATTCATCATCAGAAACCAAAGCTTTTGGTTACCCACAGATTATTCCTTCCAGTGCTCAATAAATTGACTAAGGATATAGGAGGTAATAACACTATCATCTGGGCTTTAGCTATCATCTTCCCCTCAGCTGATAATATGAGCTGCTGAGTAGTTTATGCTGGCAATGCTTTCCCCTTTCCTGGGTGTACCGATCACTCTATGGAAGTGTGGGGTCAAACCCCACTCCAGCACAGTTCTACTCCCTTTCCAATTGCAATATTTCACCTAGAATAAATCTTGAGGAAAAAACTTCTTAACTGTAAACACAGTGTGCAATAGAATATGTTCACTGAAGAAGCTGGGAAGGTTTAGGAACAATGCAGCAAGGGTGAACTAAATCAGAGTCGTCCAACTGGTGGCCCACAGCAAATAGCTCACAAGGGGTTAATCTTCCATCTGGTTGGTGGGCCTCCCTGATTTTTCCAGCTGCAACAGCAGCAGCTGAGGGATCCAGGGGTATCTTTACATGTACTCTGGTGATGTAGTACAGTGGGGGAGCCCATGGCTAGTGAGCTGGGAGGCATATTTGCTTCCTTACTTGAGTCTGTGGTGCAGCAATGAGGGGGACACATGCTAAGGTGGTCCCCACGGATGTGGCCTGTATTGAGTGTGCCCCTTGGCTTCCTAGAAACTAGACAGCCTGGGACTATATGAACCTCAAATCCCTTCCAACTCTGGTTCTACCAAAATGACACAGCTTCACACTCCACGGTGTGGAAAATATGGAGAAGTAAAAGATCTGATAAAAATCCATATGCCATTTTTGGAGGCCTATCCAAAGTGCATATGAATAAGCCCCTTTCATCCTTACTTTGTCTCGTGTGTCCATCTGTCTCCAGAGTACACTATAGGTTGTGTGTAAACTGCAGCAGAATTTGATTTAACAAATTTATCTGTGAATTCTCCCAAAAAATGGTGCTTAGGATGCAACATCATGTATGAAGGTGCTCAGCCTTCAGGGGGCTGAAATCCAATGCCAAATGCTCAGCAAATACTAATCTGCCTGGCTGGGAGACGGGCAGGCAGCTGAAGTTGACACTACCTAATGATGGAGCAACCATAAAAGGGGTTTAAAAACTCCAGAAAGGAGGGCAGATGAGGGAGGGCAGACTAGTGCTGGAGAGAAGTGCAGGGCCAGCGAGGCTCCTCACCTACTGTCTGAAAGAAGGCAGTAGACAGGGCCGGATTAATGCATAGGCAAACTAGACACATGCCTAGGGCCCTAAGCTGTGGCAGGGTCTAGTCCTTCCCTCCACGGCAGTAGCACAAATGTCCCCATATGCTTCCCTTCCCTTCTCTTCCCCTCACCTCTTTAGGCCTTGCCACTGCGGCAGCTGCTTCCTAGCGGGGACTTAGATCACCCACAGGTAGCCCAGGGCCCAAGAGTTTGTCTGCGTAGGGCCCACTAAAGAGTTAATCTGCCCTGGCAATAGATTCTGTGTTGTTTGCTTGCTAGCTTATTTGTTTGTTTTCCCTGTTTGGGGTTGATATGTTTATTGTAGCAGATTGCCAAGCCTCTCGGAGAGGAGTAAAAGTGGTTTTGAAACCTTGAAGGGAGAGCTGATTAACCTAGCTAAGGAAGCTGGGTGAGCGACCTGCTTACACACCATTGCTTTTGAAGTAACATGTCAAATAAGATACACATGGCTCACTCTTGCACATTGGAGCCTGCAAGCATATTCTAAGGTTCAGAAGAAGGCAGGGTTTAGGCTGCAGCTACATATAAGACAAAGATGATTCACTAGACAAGCAGGCAAAAAGAAAAACTGTTACTATAGGAAAGATGTCTAAAATACATGGTCAGAAGCAGGAAGAAGTAGAGGCATAACAGAGCCACTGGGCATCTGAGGCAGTGGTGATGCCTGGCTGCTACTACCATGGCTGTGGAGTTGCAGCAGTAGTTTTTATTTTTCTACCTGCTTCTTCCACCCCACTAAGCTGGCACCCAGCATTAGTTACATTACTGGGTAGAAGTTTGAATAGCCAGACCCTAGAGACAAGTCTCCTATTCTCACTAGCAAAATAAGAGAAAGTTTAAGAGCTTGAAAAGGTTCAACAAGAAAAATGAAAATGTTCTGCTCATTCTTGCTTTGCCAGAACTGTTTCACATTACTCTGAGAACATTGCTGCTGAATTTAATTATGAAGAAAATGATAAAAAAGACAAATTATGTCATTCTTAAATGTAACATTTTTCATATTCAATGTTCTGCTTCCCAATAAACACTTAGTGACAGTTTTTATATGGTCTATGATATTTATGGGTGTTTTGAAAAAGATTCAAGGAAGTAAGAGTCTATAAGTTCTCATTGGAGTCTGCCAAGTCACCATCTACTTTTGCAAGAACTCAATATATGCATTTACATTCTTTAACATTATTTGTAATCTACCATGCTATTAGTTATGCAATTTGGCATGTATCCACCTATTATTTGTGCTGGCTTAGCACCTGCCTGTATAGAGTTTTCAGTTAACTTTAATAAATGACATGGAAAATAAATTCTATGACAAAATAAAATTTAATAAGATAATTTGGGGACAGAATTTCAGCAAATGCTTCTGCTATGCATATCACATCATCTGTAACAATAACCAGCCTTTATTAAAGGGATATTGCAAACCCTAACCCTCTTCCACTTATAGTGCCATTATATTTTTGCTGCTGACATTCAAGAGATAGTTTAAAAATGCTGAAAACTAGTAGCCCCACAGAAACTATTTACACATTGTCCCAAACATCTAAAAGATTAATAATACATTATTATTACTGGCTTTCAAAAATCCAGATACTTCCAAGCCAGGTTAGCTTCAGGTCTCAAGACAAGTGTATTGCACAGAGAGTAAAAATATTGACACAAATAAAAGCTTGAACAAGCAGTAGAGTATTCATTATTTTCAAAGTTTTATCTATTTTGCTAAATAATCAAAGAAAAAAGAAGGGAAAAAAACAAAACAAAAGAGATGGATAAGTCAGGGACAACAAGGAAAGAAAGGAATTTTTGTACTACATAATTTCTTTTAAAGTTACACATACTGAATATGTAAAAGAGTGCTTTAAATTGTTTTTTCAAAGATAAACTTGACTTTCTTTTTGGCTTTGAGAATGTATCATTTTAGGAGGTTTTTCTTTGCCACCCAAAAGCCCAGAGAAAAAAAATCAAAAGGTTCCTTCTCCTTTCCCTCCAATCTGATATTTAATACAGTGGCACATACTTAAAAGCATAACTTGAAATGGGCAGATTCAGACTTCAGGACACTAATGCAGCTTTGAAATAGATACAGTAATGCAATTTCAGACCTGTTTTGATATAGCCCATGGGGGGGGAATAGTCAATGGGGAGACAAAGTAAAAATATTAAATGTTTTAAGTAGCGAGATCTCTTTTTAAATATGCTGTTTCTACCATTCATTTCAGTAACTGTTAATGGTTAGGGATTTACGATCAGATCTTGTTATCTTCCATTTGAAAAGTGATTAAAAGGAAGAACAGTCCCAAGCATGGACTTCAGATTCTCAAAGCTGACCTCCATTTGTACTTAAAGCAAGTTGCATTTTGTATTTCCTATGCCCAACTCTCATTTGGTTTGAACTGCAAATGTTATGGCACCATATGCTAATATGGTAACTTTGTGTTGAAAACAGCATAATGGAAAAATGAACTTGCTAAATTCATGCTTGATTGCTGCACGGCTTAGACTATGATTGGAAGGCATTGCAATTTTAATTCTACTGCACTGCAGATGAGCATTAATAATATACCTATGTAATTGGATGTGTTTCCTTAATCAGAGGAGGGAAAATGGATAGGTTAGAGAATCAGTTTTGTTTTAAGAACTTGTAGAATTGAACCTCTCTACACATTATTAAAAGAACTAACTTGACTTGGTAGATTTTAAAATATAGATGGAAGAGGCTAATTATTTACAATGTCATTTGCTAAGAGCAAGATGCCAATATGTTTAACTCATGCTGAGGAGAATTTCACAATGTAAGGCTATACTTAACATGGGTGACAGAGCTGGTCCCCTGAAGATTCCCCTTTGTAAGGGCAAAATTGGATGGTGCCAAGCCACTTGCACAGTTCCTGTACTGCTCTTCTCTTAGTATTAGAAGTGCTGCCAGGTGAAATGGAGTCATGCCCCTATGCCAAACTGGAAAAGTATGTGAAAGATCAGTCAGTCCTGAGTAAATCAGAGAAACCCAGAATCTGCTCTAACATGTGCCACAGCTTGGAAATAACTAGACCCAGGACTAGGATATGAAAAGGCTTAAAACTGTTTCTCCACTAAATTGTCTTACACACTGTCTTACAAACTGTCTTATATCATGTACAGCTTGGATACAGATGATTACATGAATCAGTGCTTTTAAATATCTAGCCAGATCCAAACAGAATTAATATATTATGAATAGTGTATTTTATTGTACTATCAAATTACTCAGTTTTTGGTTTTTTCGTTACTTTTGAGAGATCAAAAACTGTTGCTTGAAACCAAATTTAGCATGATGATCTAAAAGAAAATTTTAGAAAACAGATCTTTCTTGGAATGCTTTATTTTTCTTTAAACCCATTGACTATGTCTTCCTCTGCTGCCCTGGAGATTCAGTAAAAAGATAAGAATCATCTTTACAATATTGGCCAGATTCTCAAATCTGTACATTCAGGACAAGATACTATTCCATGTTTTAAGTTAGTGATGCTCAACCATTTGGATATGCAGGTGGGGTTGGTCCACAGGCCAGATCCAGCATGGGATCAGCAGAGACCTGTGCAACCAGATCTGGTAGTACCCTACTGCTGCATGCCACATCTCTCCCTGGCTCCACAACCTGATGTGCAGGGCCATATCATCCTGGCCATTGGGCTCCCCACAGGTCCAGAAGATTAGTGGTGATGGGCAACAATTAATGCTGCCACCACTCCCCTGCTCCCAAAATTCTGGACCCATGGGAAGCTCTGGGGGCCAGATAACAGAGCTTTACAGGCCAGAATTGGCTGGTGTATGAGCACCATTGTATTAAGCATGTAAGTGAGGCTATTCCACCTGGCCAAATCCATTAATGTATCTACTTATGTAAGATGTCACCATCTTACCCTTAAAAATGAGTCATCAAAGAATCATGAAGGAGGAGGAATATTGTAATAGGACTGAGCCCTGGGGTGGACTTGATGCCCCCTGGTGATTATGCCATTCCTGCTCTGCTCTGGCTCCCTATATACTCTCCCTTTCTTTCCTTCCTACCACACCTTGATGTAGGTAGTTGATGGGTAATAAAGTAGACTGACCTTGGGTCCTAGATCAAGTCCTTGTCCATGTCTGGGCCAGCAAGTTTCTCCTAGACCCTGTTGATCCCAATCAAGTCCCATGCTATACTGAGTGGGTCTTCTTGACCTATATGTGCCCCGGAGAACTAATTGCCTTAAAAATCAGTTTCATAGCCTCCAGCCTTTCCTACAGTTATGCCCATGCCTCACAGGTGTTACCATTTGGTCACTTTCCCTTACTGGGGCCTTGGTCTTCTTGGCCTCTACCCTTCTGCTGTCACTGGTTCCTTTACTTAGGCCCACTACTCTGGGCCTTAGTTTATATGGTACCAGCTCTTGTCTCATCCTTCTTGGCTTTTGGCCCTAGTCTTGCCCCCTAGGGCTTTGGTCTTGCCCCTTTCAGACTCTGGGCCCCTTGCACACAAACATTATCCACAAAATAAATCCAGAGATTTCAAATCAGGATCCACAGTATTATAAGCATATTGAACTGTTGGAGTGTTTCTGAGTTTTTTGCCCTTTTCAGGCACTGGGACCACTAGCTTCGTTATGCCCCCTCTTGGCCTCTGGACTGTTTTCCCTAGACTTCACCCCTTTACAGTTGCTGCCCACTAGTGACTTTAGCTTTGCCCTTGCAGGACTCAAAGCAATAACATGCCCTTGGACACTAGTGGGACCTCCCTGCTAGTCCCACCTAATTGATTTGTGTGTTTGTATATGTGGAATTGTGTCACACGCTTCTGTCTAACAGCGCAATATTGAGATCCTGAGAGTTGGCCTGACCCCACAGGGCAACAAGAGATATAAACTATTCATCCTAGAAAAGAAAAGACTTCACGGGGATTTGGTGGCAGCTTACAAATATTCCAGGATTAAGCATTAAGGCTAGGCAAACAACTATTCACCAGTGTGCCCACGAGTGAAAACCAGGAGCAAGAGTCATGAACTCCTAGAAGAAAGTTTCAGACTAGATATAAGGAAAAACTTCTTTTTTTTTGTGACCAGACTCTGAAATAGATTCCCAGTGGGGATGGTGCAGGCACCTACCCTGGAGATCTTCAAAAGGAGACTGAATGCATACCTTGCTGGCGTTATCTGATCCCAGTAGTCTTTCCTACCTAGAGGAGGGGGGCTGAACCTGATGATCTCATGAGGTCCTTCCAGTCCTTAAACTTCTGTGAATCTGTAAGATGTTGAGGATAGAATAGAATAATACAAGAGAGAGATGCATATGTTAGACATACAGCTAGTCACAAGTGGTCAGACTAACCAGGTTTAGATGACCAAGAACTATAGAAATTGTCTGCATTTGTGTTTGTGTGTTGGTTATCAGTAGTATAATGGAAACATTTATCTCCTGTGAAAAATGGTACCAGGAACCCAGGAAGGAAGCAACTATTTTTATTTTCTGGGTTTCAAAATTATTGTAGAGCTACCACTTTTTGGGTTTAGAATTCTATTACCATAGCAGAGTGTAATGGGAGCTGAGGCAGCACAGACCCAAGCACTAAGTACTTCTGTAACGAGCTAGAGAATTGCCTCCAGCCTGGATTTCCTCACATAATGAAAACAACGACTATCGTGGAAATCTTAAGGACAGTGATTCTCAATCATGGTGTGCCACACAATGTTACCACTGTTAGATGTATGAACGTTATTCATAAAATAAACCCAGAGATACCAAATCAGGATGCAGAGTGTTAACAACGTTCTGACCTGTTGGAGTGTTTCTGAGTTCTTTGCTACAAGAATTGCTCTGTTGTTTTTCTGTAGTCAGAAAACAAGTGAAAAGTAAGAATTGGCAATTTCAGAGGGGTGCCTTGAGCCTATCAGGGGTGCCTTAAGTCTAAACAGGCTGAGAACCACTGTTCCAGGAATTGCTGTTCACTAAAGTTCATAGATTGTCAAAGGACATGGTTAGGAAAATCTCACAAATCATAATTTCCCCTGTGCTTTCCTAAGATCAAGGTTATAAGATGGCTAAGAAAAAGTCAGGCAACATTCTAGAGCTCTTCTAGATCCTTCCATGTTTTGTCTTGTTTTACATTCAGTTATAGGGCAGGTTTCACAGATGGATCAATAATCATGCCCGCTAATCATTTGTGAGGTAGGTGGCATCTTCAGTGCCAAACTTTGTCTTATTTTCATAAAGAGATTTGTATGTAAAATTGGGAATTTCAATAATGCATTATAAATAGACCTTTAATTTTAATTTTTTAAAAATTCTCTGGCATGTTAATTAGCTTTCAATTGCCTATTATGAATATACTTATAGAGAATTACTCACAATGTAAAATATGTAGTTATATATGGAAGACTGAGAGAACCCTATTACGTGATTCATATAACCAGATAGTATTTAATGAACATAGAGTAGTTTTCTATTTAGTCTTCATTTTAATGAGCTTTGTATTTAAATATGCAGAAGACATTTTCTACAGTTTTGCCTGATGTTACAAAAATTTACTAAAGAAATGGTGGCAAAGTGCCAGAAAAAGAGAGAAATGCAATCCTATCTTTGTCTTTTACAATGCACATCCAGTTTTTCAGTCACTGGGTTTTTAAGACCAAGTGAAAATATTATTGTATACTGAAGCATTTTGAAGTAGCTACACTTAAAATAAATTAAAAAGGTGAACATGCTTTATCTGCAGACTAGATTCACTATCGATTCCCTCAGTGGCTTTCTAACCAAAGCTTGGAAACTAAGTAATTATCTACTGTGTTTAGAAATGAACTGAAAAAACACCATGGTTCACCAGCTACCTGAATTACTATAGCTCAGTACATGTTCAGTTACAGTACTTCCATCTAGAATATTTTGCTTTATTTCAATGTTCATTTAAGAAAATTAAAGCTGATCACCATAACATCTATCTTAGGTATTACTGATCCTGAATCCTACAAACCTCCCCTGGAATTGAGGAACATCACTGACATTGCTGACCTCTAATGTCATTTCACTTTCCTAAGATTATATGTCATTTTCATGCCACCTGGTACAAAATATAGCAATCCATCTGCTTAGCAATATAGGTAGGTGAGGACACTTTGTCCTACTGCTCTGTTTCCTGCACACCCCACAGAAAACATAGTCCAAATTTGAGTTTTTTGGCTTATGATTAAAAACACCAATGGGAGTTGCTGGGTACTCAGTGCTTTTGAAAATAAAGTGATTTCTTTCCCTTGCTAAATGGGACAGCTCAAAATGCTTAAAATTATCATGTGATTAATTACTTGATGAATTAGATTGTTTAGGAAAAAAACTTTCAGGAACATATTTTGAAAATTTTGGCCTGAAAGTTTTAGATATCTCTTGCTTTTTCTACCTCCTTTCCTCAGTATGACATCCCTAGGACAAAGACTGAGTAATCCAATAAAGTCTTTAGTCATCACAAAAGAAACTTAAATATTAAAAAAATTCTAACCATAAATTTACTGGTTAGGGAAAGATCACTACGCCTCCGCGTCTTCCATCTCCTCTTTGTCAACTTAACATACGAGGCTTCATTCTCTCTCCCTTATGTAATTTTCTGTGGAGGTAACTCCTCTGGGTCCAATTCTCCTTTCATTTAGACCAGCAAAATTCCAATTATTTAAGTGGAATTACTTATGCTTTACCCCAGGATAAAAAAAAAGAATGAGGTCCATTAATCATGACTAAAAACAGCCTTGTCTACTTCCCTACAGTGTAACCCTGATCTTGCAATAGGTATAAGCTAACTGTGGACATCTGGAGTAACAGAGACTTTTTGTACTACTGTTTCATGTCACTGGAGTTTATTAAAACAGCAACGTTTATCAAAGTGCTTCTTAGAAGCACATTGGCTATAGGACTTTAATTCACAACTTGCAGCTGAGATGCATTCTGTGGGAAAAAATGTGCTGTCACCGTTTGTCATAGCTAAACAGGAAGCTTCAGGACTGTTTGCCAGACACCTGGTCTAAAAACTGAGGTAGAAAAAAATCAGTTTGGGGGTGGGGAGAAACATTTGAGTCCTTCCTATAGTTAAAGCCAGAGCAGTCCTTAGGGAAGATAGCACCTTGGACAGACTTGTATTTTGGCACTTTTCCTCCTTAGTGCTCCCTCTGGAACCATTGGTGCCCCAACCCCCCTGGCAGCCTCCCTCAAAGCAGTGGCATTGCCTCAGGCAGAGACAGGCAGGTAGAGGTGTGGGGCATACTCTGGTGGGGAGGTGGAGAGACATGGTTAGGCAGTTGGGTAAGCAGCTTTTCTGCTGCTTGCACTGCTGGGCCCAGCTGCTCCTGAGTAGTGGCTGGAGGTGGGGGGCAGGCTGGCTGGGCACTGATTCTCTTGCCTGGGTTGGGGAGCAGCTGCGGTGGAATGGGTTGGGGTGGTGCAGGGGGAGAGTGCTGCTGTGAGCATGGGCTGCTTACATGTGTATATACTTGTGTGTGTGTGTGTGTGTGTGTGGTGCCCCCCGACCATGGTACCCTGGATAATTGCCCATATCGCCCACCTCTATTGATGGCTCTGGTAAAAGCTAAGAAATAATGAGAGTGTTACATAAGGAGCAGCTTTATCATGTTGGCAGAACCAGCATTATATACATTCATAAGACAAAAAACAAAACAAAACACATTGTTGTAAGGCACCCATGTTTAATGTTAAATAAAAAATAAAGAGATTTAAAATGCTTATGACCGAATGTTATAGTTTCTTGTCTTCTAAGCATTCTTAAAATATTAACATATTTCCAATACTGGGTCCTTACTAGTGTCAAAATACTAGCTGTCTCCTGGTTAAGTTAGGATTTCTAAGTGAGGCACAGTTGATGCCAAGAACAATAGCTCCTGGAGGTATACAATTAAGACAAAATTGTCATTTAAGTTTCTAACCCACAAGACTGTGAAGAACATTATGTGACCCAGTTCTGAGTGAAACAGCAACATCTGCCTGAATCTGTCTAGATCCTAAAAACTTGTTTCTGAGTAAAAACATCTTCCCCTATCACTTCAAAAAGGATGCACGCACATCATGGTGTGGCAGGAGGAGAAAAATACTGCAGCCCTGGTCCACTCACCCATCCAAGCAGATGAATCCAGCAGGCAAAGCAAGAAGTCTCTTCCAGCCTATCTGCTACTTTTATCACTGCTATTCTTAATGAGAGGCAGACCCCTGTTGCTATTCTGTGATCCAGCTATGTTTGGTAAAGTTGGTGAATTTCTAGCACCTGTCTAAGTTTATGACAAGGCAACTGGGGCAGGCTTGCAAAAAAAACAAAGAACTCTCTTCTTAGGGAATAGCATCTTTTTGTTTTTCTGTATCTGACTTTCATTTATCGGTTATTTATAGGACTTGACCACCTGAAAAAAAAGGAGTTTAGGTATAGAAGTATTAGTGTCTCTAAGATTTGGATGAGAGAAATGGAAGGGAAGTGACTGTCCCAAAAACTACACAGCAGGTACAGAGCAGAAAAGAACAGAAGCCAGATGTCTAGAGTTCCGCCTAATGACTCAATGGAAAAGGGTGTTCTTTTCTGGTATATAAGCAAGAGCCAAAAATATCCATAGTTTAAAATTTGTAGCATCACTCACCTTATGGGAAGACCATACAAATATAAATGCACTTTTGAGCATTAGAAGCCACACAAATTGTGTTGGCTCCCATATATCGCTAAGCTACTTCTTAATAATATATGCCTTAGTATGATAGAGACACCAGGATGGTGGGGGAAAGAGTCTGTCCTGAGATTCCTTACAGTTTTTCTACTTTTTTTTTTATGCAAGCATCCCATGTAGATGAACCTTCACCATTCTCTAGTACAGCAAATTCATAGTATTCTTAGTAACGCTCAGAGATACTCAAACTATGAAGTCTATACATGATGCACCAACCATGCTAGACCAGTTTACCTTTAATTTGAAGTTTCCAAGGGAACTGACTGGTTACAAACTGAATGGTAACAATGATCACAGGTATTTATACACATCTTCTCATTTTTTTAAAAAAAACACTGAAATGGAAATAACAGAACAATAATTAACATGCATATATTATAAATCTACATATATCTTAAATAATTTATCTGATGAAAATGATTTGACTTGATACAGAGTTGGTCAAATAATGAAGAAAGTTTTCTCAGTGTTCATCAAAGACCTTTTTGGTAAATAATGGGTGACCTATTCAACTATAGTTTAAGTTTCCAGGTGCTTAAAGCAAAACAGCCTGAATTTCAAAGCTTCTAGAAATCTTTATCCTCCACTGGAATCACATGCTAGGTTTTAGTACAGGGTCTCTACAAAATTGACTTTGACATTATTATTTTTCTCTTTTGGAATTTACCATCCATAAATTCAGGATGACAAGCCATACAAGTTACCTTTAAAATTTTCCAGAGTTCCCTCTTTTATCTTCTGGCTAGCATAACTTGCTGTACCTCCATTTAAAAGTTGGCATGAATCACAGATGCCAGATTTTGCTCTGATATTTGAACTCATTGTTTAATAAAGTAATTTTTATGCACACACTGGATTTACATGCCAGCGTGGTTTGTCCTCAGCAGTGATGGGAGCAGGCCTAATATTTGGCATCTCTAACTAGGTAGCTGTGCAGTCATCTGCTGGGTTCTTGGTACAACTAGGAAGTAAGGGATCAGAGACAGATGAGAAGGGAGTGTTTACAGTGGTGATGGTGACTGCTGGGCAAGGTCTAGTTGAGTGATAGTAGAGAATAGTAAGATACTGATGCGTCTTAAGCAAAGGGACATGGATTTGGTAGCAGACCTCTAATTTTGTGCCACTGTTTTGGGCCCTGACCTCCTGAGACCTCCCCAAAACCAGGCAGTGTTTTTTGGATAAATAAAGAACACCAGGCTTTCATGGCCTCTTCCAGGAGACAGCATGAACCCAAAGCACCTATTGTTCAGGAAACTCAAAATGCTTTCACAAAAATAATTATTGGGTGACTCCCTGGAATAATTCATATTCTAGTTGCACCAATGGAATTTGATACAAGGGAACTGGTTAAATGAATAACAAAAGATATTACCCAAGTAACTTATTTACAACTAATAATTTAACCGCAAGTAAATCTTATCACACAGCTTCTCAATCTGTTCACAGCCCTGTGGAACCACTTTCATAGTAAATACATACAGTATTGTATATTGATAGCAGAATCTAGTATCATGCAAGGCATCCTATCTCTAACTGAAGATTTACATCTAAACCTTGGATGCCACAGATTCTGCCAAAACAACTGAGAAATGAGTCCAGTAGCCTGCAGACGGAGCTACAAATCAGAGATTCATTATAGGCTTTTTTTCCTCAAATGCTTTAAAAGCCTTGGTTCCTGCAATAAATTAAACAATACCTTAAGAAACAAATAAAAGACAAACCCTGCAATTTGATCTGCTCAAGCAGACCATCTTATCAGGTGGTGAGCTGCAAGCAGTAATAAACAGCACAGAGAAGTACCTGTGCTGCCAAAAAAGGGGATTTTTTTAAATGTTTTTTGCCATTTCACCTCATCAGCTTGTGGGCAAATGGGAAAATACCTGACTTCCAAGAACCTTAACTAGTGGTTCCTTAGTGGTGTAAACTTCAGGGACCTATGATCCTGAGAGAGCTTGTCAGCCAGACAACCAGAGAGCTGGGAACTACAGAACTTCCAGGGTCTGTTTTACCTTTTCCCTTTAAGGATTTTTTTTTTTAATTTTCCCTTCAAACTAAGCCGCCAATCTCTTAATCCTCCACAAAATGGAATCACCCATGTCTCCTCATTTTTCTTAGCAATGTTACATCTGCTTGTATCAACCACCTCAGTATGTTACCTGTGTGCCAAACCTTTGATTTCAACTGAACCACATACAGGCAGAGGTTTGGGGTCTTATGTTGTACTTTATGCCCAAATTTTGACTTACCATAACATATTTGGTTTGCTAAGGACATTGCTCTAAATTCTAAGCTTTTGTTTAAAGCCACTATTCCATTCACATTTGACAATAGCAAAGAACAATATTTATATAGTAGGGCCAATTATTTTGTTGTGCACACATTTCTGGTGCAGATATGGTCCCAGAGTAAACATTCTTCCTAGAACCGTATTGGCAATATCAGTGGAAATAAAAGAAAGCTTTTAAAACAAAATGGTAAGCTCTGTAAGAAACACAGGGTATGTGTACACTTGGCGGGAGAATAAAAGGGCAAGCTGAAAAGAAAAATATTATTGAGGAAGCAAATGTATTTTTTTAAACTTCTAAGTGAGTATTGCAAACAAAGGATAATAACAATAGCCATGTAAAGCATTTGGCAGTATCCTTTTAAGTCCATAAAAGCAAGAAAATGCAGAGTTAAAGCTCAGATTTCAGGCTAATGCTCAATCATTGACTTACCAAGTTGTGCAGTACAAATGTAATAAACCTGTGTGCTGTTAGAAGAGCTCCACAATAAGTGAGTTAAAGTACAGTAAAAAGCCAACAGCTTCCCTCAAAATCTTGATTTCCTTGTTTTATGTATTGAAACAAGCATTTTCAAAACAGGGTGGGTAAAAGGTAGATTTGGTGTCGGTTAGGTCATTTATCTTGAGTGATGAGTGACAACTTAGCCCCTCTCTTCCCTCTGCCCACCCCTTTCCTAAAATGCCCCCAAAGCAATAGTGTGATGCCTCCTGGAAACAGTAATCTTGGGGCATGTATAGACAAAATGGGGGCCGTAAACTGAAGCAGCGGGTTTTAAAAAACACTGCTTCAATTTTAGGGCTGATTAAACCCCTGTGTTGTGCATACACCCTGCTGGCTTACCTGCCTCTCCGGTAAGGAGAGGAGGGCGAGCTGCCCTTTTCTTGGGTGGAGCCTGCTTTCTTGGGCTACTACCAGGCTGCCTGCACAGGCTTCCTGCAGAGCTGTGTAGCTGCACAGAGCCTGGTGCTTCACTCCCCAGCTGTAGGGGCAAAAAACTAAAAGTCCTCAAAGGAGTTTTAATTTGCTGCACCCTAAATCATTTAAGGTGCAATTCGCCACTGAATTTCCTACAGCAACTGGAATTGCAATACACTGCTGACATGTGCAAACACTAACACTGTTAAAGCAGTGCAAAAACATTTTACTCACTTTAAAGTGTTGTGTACACATTCTTCTCATTTCATCTACACATGGCCACAGTTCTTCTATTACGATTCCAAGCAGAGATGAGTTAAAGCAGCTTTAAGCTCACTTTGTACTCCTATTATTCTGGAGTAGCTGGCACTGTGGGAAAGTAGGAAACAGCCATTGTGCAGTATCCTTGACACAGGCCACCTCTGCAACATTGGCTCAACTTCTTCATCTTTTTGCCTTCTTTCACCCTGATTTAACTTTTACATTGTATCAAAGCACCTGTAGATTGTATCTTAGCCTGACAAGCCAGATGCTCAAGGGCTATTCTATAAATTGTGTTTCTGCTTCTTTAAGAACCTTTTACAGTCACAGTGGATGTGGCTACATGTGCTATTAGTGTGCCATGATAAACTCCAGAGTTTTTTATTCCTGGCACTGTGTCTTCATCTGCAGCCGGGACTGCAGTTCATTGAGCCGGGTTGGAGCAGGCCCAGCTGGCAAGGGGTCTGGGGTTCAGCCTGCCAGCCCAGGGCTGCTCCAACCCGGCTCAACATGCTGTTGGAGTGCTGGCTCCAGCACAAGGGTGCTCTGATGCAGGGCTAGGAAGCCCCCACACTTAAGCACCCTTGTGAAAAGATTTGTGGGAAGTTTCTGAGAAAAAAGTTAACATAGTTTTATTGGAATTTGCTGAATTGGTGAAATTGAAACCATTTCTCATAGCTGGTTCAATTTTACCAATATTCTGATAGAACTTGTTCACCAAGGGCTAGTTCTGTGCCAGCTCAATGATTCATCCCCTCAGCACCCTGAACTGTGGGTTCATTCTTATTTGGGGACTTAAGCTTCCAGGGTCCATGGCTTCATTCTCTTTTGGGCAGAGAAAGTAAAAGAATGGTGGCGAGGAGGAGAGAGAGGAATTTAAACATCACTATGAAACCAGTTTTTAAAAATCCACACCCTTCTGCAACTTCAGTTCTATTACACTTTTTCTTCCTTTTCTCCCTCAGAATGATTTGCATAGTGTAACTGCCACTATTAAAAATCTTACCTTATTTTTATTTTACAAAATGTAATATTTCTTATACAAAATACACATAGTTCTTAAAGTGTTCCCTGGTTTTTATAGCCAATGATTTTATAGTTCTGTCCTTAGAAAATGAAAAATATATGGGAAGATAGAATAATAGGATTATTTACTGATGTTCTTGTATGCAAATAATAAAATAAGCCATTGCTCTAATGGATTCTGCCATCAGCATTCACCTGCTGATAGACATTCCCTTGAGGCTTAGGTAATGCAGTGTACAACATGGATGACTGGGTTTGTCGACACTAGTCATTTCTCTGTGAAGCTCATCATCATGCTTTGCAATATCTTGAAAGGCAGGAACCAAGGTGAGCAGAGCAGCTCCCTCCAGATATATGGTGGGGATGTGTTATGCTGTAAATCACTAAGAGGGAGGTAAACAGAAGATATATGATTATTGGGAAATTACATTCTACCCAGTGACATCCTATCAATTTCCTGGTCAGGGTATTACACCCTAGAGACACATTTCCAACCTACACATATTGTAGCTTATATCATTTTGTGAGTTATTAGACAAGGGGATTGAAAGAGCAAGGTGCATGCCGGTATCTCCTAACTACCCTTTTACCGCCTGATGTTCTAAAATGCAGAAAGCAGTACCCAAGGGGAGGGAAAAGGATGTATAGAATGGATCTGGCACTGTCTTGAGGATCAGGAGCTGTAGGCTTAACTCTCTGTAGTGCCAACAGCTAGATCATTTGATCTTAAGTCAGGCCCCTCTTTTACTTCAGATTTCCCATTTGAAAAAGGAGGACATTAATAATTATGTATTTTTAAATAAAAGTCTTTGAGATATGTGAGTGGAAATGGAGCAGAAAATACATAGGTGAAAAGCATTATTGTTAAATGCATATAGTTGTTCTTGAAAGTCACAATAATTGTATACAAATAAGAGTCCATGTTGCAGATCTCTTATTAAACACTGTAGGAATTAGGTAACTTTTAGATATTTATCTTTAAAACCACATAATCATCATACCAGTATTTTATCTAAATGAAATCTAATCATGAATGATGAAATCCCAGTTACAGCTGAACTTGCACTAAATAGAAACTTTGGTGATAGGAGAGAAAAACAGCCACAATGCAGTGTCTTTACATTGAAGACATACATCTACAAATAGTTATTACAGTTCCTGCATGGTTGTTTTTTTTCAATTTTTTTTTTTTTCAAATCCCCCTCCCCACCACACTTGCCCTCATAAAAAAATCTGTTGTTTAAGAACCTAAAAAGAATGGAATATCTTAGCAAAGGATTATTTCTGATCTTAAGTATGCATCATTAATTCCCTGTCAGGTATTACACTCTAGAGCCACATTTTCTACCTACGTACATTGTAGCTTGTATCATTTTGTGAATTATTAGGAGAGGGGATTCTAATCATTAGAAGAAGATAAAGTGTTTTGATCACATTATATAATTATTGCTATCAGAATATATTGCCAATCATTCTGACGGTCATTTGTCAGTCATAATATCATAACTCAAAGATTTGTGATATCCTTCCTGGAAGTATTGCTTTGGGAACCCTTCAGATTGAAGGAAAGTCAGATGCTGGTGGCATCTCTTCTTCCAATTACTGTAAGCAAAATGTATTTACCTCAGGCAGTAAAGACAGTTAAATATAAACCTTAAGTATTATCTACTGATCAGGGATAAGAAAGATAAAATATATACATGAAAGGTCTCTATTATTCAGTTTACTTGTTTTCTGGGACAAGGATGTTTTCATAATTGAAGATATATACGTAACAGGAAAGGCCTTTTAACCCCATTTAATATTTCAGTCAATTGTTGCCTCCTCTCTTCCTGCATTACCTATTATCCAGTCAATTTTGATAATTAATGGTGTTGCTGGCAGTTTTCTCAGCTTCAGAATAAAAGTTTGTCCAGAGACCAGTAACCTACTTAGTGAAGATGAATCTAGAAAGCTTTTCAGAATATATGTCTGAACTCCTTTCAATGTATAATTCAGAGAGTGACCTGGGAGGCAATGAGGACTTAACTACTGCATTTACTTGTCCTGAGTTAGTACTTTCTGGCTTTGAACTGTCTTAAATATATAAGCTGACTCAAATATATGAATTTAGCATCAGGGCATGTTAAGTTGATAGCAAAGCACGGGCATCTGTGAAGTTACAGACTTAGTACATTGTATTGTTGCTCTTATTTCTCAAGGGAAAGCATTCTCTGAGATCTGTTTGTCATTGTCCTCACCTAACAGGGCTGGTAAAACATTGTAAGTAAAAATGTTCTCTGAGGTCAAAGGGTCAGTACTTCTATAGTTTACTGAAATAATGCCAACGACAATCCTCTCTAAGACTCTTGGCTCAGCATTTCTAGTCTATTAGTCTGATTTTATATCAAATGCATCTGCAAGATTTTTAGATCAATACCTGAAGTAATCTGGCTGATATAAAAGTACACGCTTCTGCAAGGTTACTGGCTGCATGACAGTATTTTGCTCATGTGGTGTCAAGTCAGGTGCCCTGTGTCAGCACTGGTCAAGTTTTTTAACGTTCTGAGTTCCTGCCCAGTCACAGGTCTTTGATATCTTAGCTCAGCTTAGCTTCACTATCTACTTTGTTTGCTGCCAAGACCTCATCTAGCTAAAAATGACCTTCTCTGCCATGAAAGGTTAAGAAAAATGAAGCATTTGTTTCAGCCTGGCAGAGATGCCAACATCTCCTTGATTAAGAACTGTAGATCTCTCAAAAGTAATGTGATCAGGGTAACAGAAATCCACTAAAGTAGTCTAAGTAGTCTTTTTTGAATGAGGCATCTGGGGGAAATGAATTAAGAAAGCCAACAGGAATGGAGGGTCACATGCTTTTTTATGGCTGGAGTGTAGCAACAATTCAGAGCACTAGCTATCATTATTAAGATTCACATTGTCCATGGTTGATGTAGCATACTTGCACTGGTGTCCCCTGAGTGCCCAACAGCCACAATTTGTAGTCAATCACTACACTTTGCTCACCATGACTTTGGTGTAATCTTACGAGATAAGAGGCTGCACCTGATTTTTACGTGGTTGTGATCAGATCTTCATTGGGGTCTTCTTCAGAGTTCTTCTGCAGGGCTCTGCCTCCCCTTAACCCTGTTCCCTTGCCTCTCTTGATAGCTTAAGCTATTATTCTTTAAGGTTTGGCTCCCAAGAAGGGAATAGAAAACTAGTAAGCACCAAAAGAACACAAACCAGACAAACATTTATCCCCTAAAAAGGGCTGACATGCCCCTTCTTCCAAATACCCCATCTTTCTTGAAGGGCGTGCACCGCTTTGGGTTCCACCTCCCCAAGCCGAGGGTTTAGCACCTGGTTGAGGCCCAACACAAAATCCAGTTTAGAGTCCCATGGCATAGCCAACAAAACCTAGGCCACCTTCTTAGGTAGGGCTCTCCCCTACCCAGGACTTTGGTCCATAGTCATGGCCTCAGTGGCTGTCAGCTGTGCTGAGCTGTTGCTGTCAGCTTCTTCCTACAGGCTCTCATGGTCCTCTCATGGTCTAACAAGCCCTGCAGCTGGCTTGGGTAGCTGCAGCCAGCATCTTTTCTGTGGCTTTTCCTCCATTGCTACCCCCTCTGGCAGCCTGTAAACACAATCCTGTGTTCCTCCACATGGGCTCTCCCTCTGCTGTAGTGTGTTTCATGATGGCTTTATTTCCAGCTCTGGCTCTGGTCCTTTGCTGGGGCAACAGCCTCTTGTGGCTACAGCTCACCCAACAAAGTTAGATACACCTGTGGAACTGAAAGAGTGTCTCCAGGAGGGATATGTCTCATAGCCAGGGTACCTGCATTCCTTGCTTGCTCCCCAGTCATCCTCCCAGGTAAGTTACTAATCTTGCTCCAATTCCTATCACTATATCCTGGGAAAAAGAGAAAACAGCAGCACATTGGCCTAGTTTTCAAATAGGGACCTTGCATGTGGGAGATAAAGCCTGCCAGCTGTTAAGGAGATAGGTGCAGGGGGGTTCTGGGGCACCCCTAGCTGATGACAGGCAAAATTCGTGACATGGGTGCTTATGCAACTGCTGCCTCTCATCAGGCAGCAGGGCTGAAGATCCCCCATCACTTGCCACCACAGACCTGAGGGTAATAATTGACCACAGTATGAACATGAGCTGTCAGTGAGATGCTGTAGCCAGCAGGGCCAACAATACCCTGGCATGCATCAATTGATGCTTCTCCAGCAAAACCATTGCAAAGAAGTGATTCTCCTGCTCTACTCGGCATTAGTGAGACCACAGCTGGAGTACTGCATCCAGTTCTGGGCTCTGCACTTTAACAAGGATGTGGTAAAGCTCGAGAGGGTCCAGAGAAGGGCTACCAATATGATCAGATACTTGCACAGCAAGCCATATGAGGAAAGGCTGAGGGACCTGGCACTCTTCAGCCTAAAAAAGAGAAGGCTGAGAGGGGGCTTGGTAGCAGCTTACCACTACATCGGAAGCATACACCTAGGGCTCAGTGAAGATCGTTTCAGGATCATTTCAGGCTCAACATTAGTAAAACTAGGGTGTCCAGACTGTGGAATAAACTCCCTCCAGAGGTAGTGCGATCACCTACCCTGGAAATCTTCAAGAGGAGACCAGACAGTCACCTTGCTGGGGTCACCTGACCCCCAGTTGTCTTTCCTGCTTGATACAAGGGGGTTGGACCCAATGATCTTCCAGGTCCTTTTTGGCCTTACAATCTATGAATCTATGAGTGGCTGGAGCCTAAGTCTTAGGAGATACGGCTTTGAAACCGTTCTCCCAGAGACTTCCAGAGCAATCTTGGTCAGGTTCCTTAGCCTCCCTGAGCCTCAGCTAATCACCTATAAAATGGACTATTTACACTTCCCAATTCACAGGAGTGTTGTGAGAATATGTTCCTTAAACAACTGCGAGGTACTATGGCAGGCTTCGTGGCCACAGCAGGGCCTAGCAGGCCTGCAGTTTCACCACGCTCTGCCCCAAGATAGACACAGACAGTTGCGCAAGCCCCCATGTCACGAGTTTTGCCTGTGAGCAGCTAGAGGTGCAGGACTTCAGAACCCCCTGCACCTGTCTCCTTGACAGCTGGCAGCCTTTGTGGCCACAGCAGGGCCTAGCAGCCAGGCCTGCAGTAGTTTCCCCCCCACTTCCCCTATGCCCCAAGACGGATACAGTTGCACAAGCACCCATGACATGAGTTTTGCCTGTCAGCAGCTAGAAGTGCAGGGACCCAGAACCCAGAACCCCTGCACCTATCTCCTTGACAGCTGGCAGACTTTGTGGCCTCAGCAGGGGCTAGCAGGCCTGAAGCTTTCACCCTGCTGCGCCTTAACACACACACTGTCACCCATGTCACGAGTTTTGTTTGTCTGCAGCTTGAAGTGC